TTCTCAATAATGACAATTTTTTCGATAGCTCAGCCATTTCTTGACGGATCCTGCTCATCTTCGAACTCGACCGAGACATTGTTAAGACTGAACTGTGTGGAAAATTTCATCGCGATTGGACTCTCCTTTCAAAAGTTATCGTGTAAACGGCCGGACGGCCGGACACACTGACCGATTCTAGAGTGTACTCACTTTTTGAGTACACAAAAAATATGTAATACGATATAGTTGCTCTTGTTTTCAACAATTCATTTGGATAGTGTTTCACATGCACAATCATGATCGAATTCAAGGATGTTCCGAACGGAGGAGTAACCCTTCCAATCTTGACGGCCTCGGAACACCATTGATCGAATTTAGATAACTTTCATAGAAAAAAATATTACCGCGCATACCCATTGGTGATGAACATTGTGAATAATCTTCATTCCAAATTTGATTTATTGGACATGTATAATTTGATATATAACCATCTACATTACAATACGATATAGTATTATTTGTTATAATTGTTTCACTAAAACCATCACAATGTTTATTTTCAATTGATGATAATGATGTATCATTGATAATAGATGACAAATCTTTTATATAAATAAATAAATAAATCGTATTTAAAATTTAATAATAAAAACCAACACATAAAATCTTTACTTTGTAATTGTACAAAAATAGGATAAATTTTACTTAAAAGTTTATTTTTTAATGTTATAAAAGCTCGACAATAATAAACACCTTGATCATAATAATTAAAATTTCGAATAATTAAACTATCTATACCAAGAATATATTTATTTTCTAAAATGGAAAATATTTTTTTTGTTTTTTCGTAAAAATTAAATTTTTGAAATTATATTACCATTATTATGCAATTGTCGTCGTTCAAAAAACCAAAGAATTTTCGGTAAATAAGGTGAATCCATTGCCTTAGAATACAAAAATAAAATCCTAATTTTGAATTTGTTTATTTTTTTTTAAATTTCTTTCATACTTTTTCACTATAATATTGAGCAAAACAATTCAATCGAACATCATTACCATATGTAACGGTTTGATTTGTATTCGTACCCATAAAACGAATTTGTTTCATCATATCTAATTTACGTTCTTAAAACAACAAAACATTTCGAAAAACAAAAATATTCAACTAAAAATTATAACTTGTCAATTGAAGAATAATTGTTGATACAGATTGGTTAGTTTGACATAAATATGGACCAGCAAGTGATACATCCATTCCTTGAATAGTTAAAATAGATTTACGATTAAGTTGAATAATTTGTGTCGAAATTCTAATAGAAAAAAAAGAAAAAAACGAAAGAATTTTTCGTATAGAATATTTTTTTTTTCTTATACCGAGCTGTATCAGATGTCAATCGTTTCGCTATAATCCATTTTGGATTATAACCAATACATTCAATATAAAAATCTGTTCCTTCATCAATAAATAGATAACCACCATGTGGTGATATAGTCATTGATGAAACTATTGTTATTATGAACCATAATATTGATAGAACTTTAATAGAAAACAAAAAAACAATGTGAAGATTTAAGAAAAAAGAAACAAATTTTTTTGTTTTACCTTGAAAATGCTTCATGATAAATCTGACCGATATGAAATGACCTCGTCTTTACAATGATATTTGATTTCTTTCTGTCCACTATTTAAATTAATCTTTATTTGAACACGTCTCTTCTTTTTTTTTCTTTCTCTCTTCTGTCTTGAATCAACAATAGAGAGATGATTGTATGAGATTGTTGTTTTTAGTTGTACTTCAAAGAATAAAATTTATCTTTATATCTTGATGTTTATCGATTGATATATAAAAAGGGATATTTTTGATTTTTTGTGACCATTATATAGTCTGAAATGCTATCTATCTACTGCGTATATTTTGGAGTACAAAAGTTGTCTTAAACGTTTACAAAATTAGAGAAGAAATTAAATTAGCGAAAACTGTACATGGTTTCACGTTTTTCTCAAAAGTAATTTTTAAACACAACAACGAATTTTTTTCTTCCATACGGTACGTCCCATCGGCCTCAAATTAGGGTGCGCATCTTTTTTTTTCTTCAAAATGTTGTTCCTACGAAATTCAATAACTTTTTAAAATTTCTACCATTCAAAAAAAAACACGTTTTTAACGGTGCTTCAAGTATTTTGCTTCTTTCCAGCTCTAGGAGCGATATTTTTGAAAGAAAAAAAAAACACACATCCCGATTAGATCCTCGTTGTCATAAAAAGAATTGCAGCTAGAAAATTTGTGATCCCCAAATCTCCGTGAAGGTTGCATTTGAAAATTTCGAATCTATGACAACTTTTGCTCTACTTATCGAGATCTATCTGCTTTGAATGTTTCATAATTTTTCATTGAGCCGTTCCCGAGAAATTTCGGAAAGAGTGGCTGAGTGTGCCCCCTTAATATTAGGTAGACAAGAAATAATTTCTCATTGAGTATATCAATATGTATCTTTATTGGTTCTAGGACTTACATATAAAGTGAATAGTTTTTGTTGAGATTTTTGTTAACTTTCTAATAAATAATTCTTGTACTCACTTGTTTCAATTATATCAATATTATCGATTGAGGAGAATTGATTAATTGTTTTAGTCTTATCATTGAATATTTGTAGTCATATATGAATTACGAATGATTTTCATATGTAAAGTCAATTTAGAATTAAACGCCATATGTAATACTGAATCTTTATTGTTTAGAAAAAAATGACTTGATTCAACGAAGAAAAGAGAAGAAAAGTTGAACAAATTTCGTTTTTATCTAACATTTTGCATGTACTGTTGATCTCATAATGGGACTAAATCGTGCATAGCTACTTCTTACTTGTGAACATGAATAAAATATAAACTTTAAGTAGAATGAAAATATTTTAAATTATCGATTGATCTAAAGTTGACAACTTTATTAGTTTTCTGTAGAACGAGTCAGTCTGATAGTTTTTGATTGGGGTAGATTTGACGTGATATTTATAAAGCTTTACATGGTATAAATAATGATATAATGTTTTTTCTATAAAAAAGTAATTATGGAGTGTTATACGAGATAAAATTATATTCACATAATAATTGGTCTTGACAGTAATCTAAGCTCTAAAAAAAGTACAACTATCAGCGGAATGTAGGACGAGTTTTATAAAAGACAATTTGATTCAAAGTCAAAGAAAGCTTTCAAAGAGATTTTATCGTGATTTATAGCGGTAACTCAACGCTTATTGCGGGTGTAAGGTGAGTGGATGGATATGTATGCATGAAGAAAAGATACTCACCAAGATACATACTTCAAAGTCGTTTTTTTTTTTAACATTGTTTTCTGTAGTTTTTGTTTTCGTATATAAATGATCTTGCATCTCGACTCATTTGTGTCCATTCAATGTAATAATGACAGTTAGACTTTATACTCAAGTTCAAAAAAGCTCACGACATTCATAGTAACAATTATGTATAATAAACTCTGTAAATTGCAGTTAATTAGAAAGAAAAGGAAATGCAGTAATTTAGCGCACTCTACAAATTGCATCGTATTAAATCGAAATAGTGGAATCCAATATATAGCGAACTCTATAAATTACAGTTAATTAAAAGTATAAAACTGAATATACAAGTTTCATTAAAGTTGTTGTTAACAGCAAATTAAAAAAAAAATTAAAAAAGAAAATTTTAAATTTTCAGTGAATTTATTTAAAAAATAATTTGAGTCACAAAATTAATTTTTTTAAAAATTGATATTAGTAAATTTTTAAGAATTTAAACAACGAAAATTTGAAACTTAGGATTGTTTTCTATTTGAATAATCTTAATTAGAAGAAAAATCAATTAATATTGAATTTAACAGGTTTTGAATGTATTGCTCGATTACCACAATTTAAAGGTGATACAACACATTAACAAAACTACTTAGTAAAACAAAAAGGAAGTTTATTCTGATTTTAGATTCATACAGAAGATATAATACAGCAACCGAAACGAATGATTGACGCTGTTCTCAACAATGTATTAATTCATCATCATCATCAGTTAAAAAAAAACAGATTAATGAATCATCTCAAGGGTGTGGGTGTGAGTGCGGTTGAGGGTGTGGAGTGTAGGTATTATAATCTTATCATGTAATCCCATACCAATACTCACACCAACACCCACAGCCATCCTACATCCTACTCGTAGGAACTTTTTTTCAGAAACTGCATAACTCACTGAGTGTGTGTATCACGACTCAAAAGTGCTCGGACACCTAGGAGCGTACCCTAGTGAACTTTTATGCAAGTTGTGCTCTAAACTTCAATATCTCTACTATTTTTGAACTGATCAGGTTAATTTTTTCTCATTGATAGAAGAAATTTCAAAGTTCTTTTTTCATTTGACAACCATCAACAGACGTCCTTTGAAATATCATGATTGACCTCGATGAAGAAATGTCGTCTTTTCTAATTTCTGAGAAAAAAATTTGAAGCGACGATCTCAAGTATTATAATACCCTTTGAGTTAATGTTTATTCCAAACGGTAGTTCATCATGTGACTAGAAAAAATTCTCAAGGGTCCATTCCTTTGTTGAGTTTTGGCGGAGATACTGAAGTTTTAGCGAATTTTCTCATCTGAACCTCTACTCGAATGACAGTCTCACTTAAATTAGCTCATATAAAAAATCTAAGAACTTTTCAATATAAATTTTTCAAAATATGGGTATTTGCTGCTCATATTGTGTACAATATGACAATTTCGAAAAATTTATATATCGAAGAGGTTTTATTGAATTGTTCAAACGAGGGAACATTCCCAGGTGTTGGAGCGATTTTTAGTCGAGACTTAGCGCATTTGGTAGAGCTTAGTGAACTATGTTTATGGTAAAAAAAGTTCGTGCCCATGGTTTGTTTCTGGGGAGAGCGAACGTTTTTACTGTTACTGTTATAACAGCTGTCTCACCTGAAGAAAAAATATTATCTGAACCATTTTAAGTCAAATCAAACTCAAAATTTTTCCAAATATAGTAATCTTCTAGTGAAAGATGACATGAGTATATGAGTCAAACAGAGCTTTTAAAGATAGAGTTACACATTCCATAAAATATTATCACCATTGTACATCTTATTCATCATACTATGTCTTAAAGTTTCAAAAATAGATAAGTTAAGCGCTTATAAGATACGCAGCAATTATCTTATCGTACAATTTGAATAAGCTTTATAAACGTGATGTTTCATAAAGATCTATTTCTTTTACTTCTTTTCAAATGAAACAACATAAAGTGGTAGTATAATATACCGAAGAAAATGGCAATAAAAGCGAAAGTAATTTACGTCTCGCAGAAGAATTAGTTTACGCTAAACTATGTAAATTATGATGAAAATGATAATCGAAAAAGAAATGCTTGAAACAAATGTTGTTCCTACACCAACTACAACAAATGAATGGAGAAGATTCACAACAATTACCACCTAAAGTGACATTATCAAATGTAAAACATGCTTCTTTGACAGATAGAAAATGTTCCGGATGATCGTCTGTGTATCCACTTGCATGCCATGCATATTTAAGCATCAGCTGAAAAATCGGTGCACATAGTTGATTGTATATTAAAGATTGACAACGAATAATATTGTTACGTTCACTTA